AACGCAAGGTGGAGGCTCTCAAAGTGTGTCTTCCTCCTATTATTGTTCCTTGGCGATACTCTCCTTCTGTTCCTGCGCTGTCTCTCTATTTCCCCGGTTCTGTTCATCCCGCGCGCACGGGTGATCGGAACAAGGAGGTGTCTCCGAAACTCCGTCCGTTTGAGAACCTGCACGGGTAGGTGGGCGATCAAGTTTTTGGGTAGCGCTTCAAGCGCGAATGCTCTGCATCATCTTCACCAACATGTCGACAAACGGCAACAACAACAACACTGGAGACAAGGAGAAGGAGCCTCTCGTCAACACCAACGGAGGCAATACTGCCTCAAACTCCAGCGGAGGGATATTCTCAGGGTATAACGTTTCACTATTACCGTTCGTTCTTCATTTCCTACAACTGTCTGTCGCAATATTATTGCGTTCTCTTATCTATGTTGATGCTTATTCTATATTAAGCATGCTCATGTTGTACACATCTAGCACAGTCACTAGATCTACTCAAATTACAAATGTCATGTTTATTGTCTTAATAGTTTGGATTAAAATATGCCGAATTATGACCAAATTTCCAACATATAGCAAGCATTCTTGTCTTCACGTTTCCATTAGGACCAACCAGAGGTAAATGTGGAAGTGGAAATGTTTCTTAAGCTGACTCACATAGGTAGGAAAACAGGATGGAACCCTACACCCTCAGAGAGTTTCACATCCCTATCTTTACACTTATGATTATACTTATCAGTCAAAATTTAAATTTTTTAACCTTAATTTTAAATTTGATTTTAAGATTTTTTTTCATCAAAGTTTATTTTTCAGCCTTTGCTTTTAGATCATCAAGAACGCGTATATAAAAGTTTTATTTACAAATTACTTTTCGTTTGCAAATATGCCGTAGGCTTATTCCGTGAATAAGCCAAACGATGGGAGCCTCGGTCTGTAAGCCACACTCTCAATCTTATCAAGCACCCTGGAAGGCCCATAGAACTTTGCCCCTCGAACACTGTTCCTCACGTTGAACCCCTCTCTCTGTTTTTTTTTGAAACTTAAACATCCATTAATATAAAGCGACAGAGTTCACGAGAATAAATCCCAGTACATTGCCAAACAGATAAAAAGGAAGCATAAAACCATCCGTTTCGAAAGAACGGGGAAACTGCATTAAGGCTACAAACTTCATGATGAAACCACATAGCAGAGAAGGTGCACATCGATAGGGAGCTGCGGCAATGCCGTGACCAATGCAACCTTGGGCCTCCTTTGGCGTGCAGCACGCTTGACAAACCGGTAATCCCCATCCGGTTGCCTCCACGAAGACTGCACAAAACGGAGGTCTGCTGCTGAGCCGTAGATTTTGAGGGAGCATCACCGGACTCAGCAAGAGAAGTCCACGGAGTTCGTCGTTAAATCTGAGGAGCGTGAGCTCAACCCGAACAACAAACCCTGCATGGAACGAGCTGGTGGAAAACACAGATGAAGAAGAAACCCACATCCAGATCCCCAAACCCACTGAAGAACTCGAATGGTGGCAAACGAACTGCTGTCTTCTTGGATCGACATGCGGGAATGGGGGAGAGAAATCCTGCGAGACTTGACTGATGGAGCCTTGGCAAAGGAAGCTCTCAAGCATGCACCAGCAGAATCGCCGCCACCTCGCCAACGGGCTGTCAAGCACCACGAGCAGCAAGCTCCGGGCGACAGCAGATCCGGGCGAAGCAGGCCTCAAGAAGCTGTTGCCGCCGTCGCTAGGAATGGGGCGGCAACCTCCCAGACGACGACAACAAAGCCATTGACGCCGCCGCAAGGAGCCAGCTTTTTCCGTCGTTTCGTCGGGACGGCGACATCCCGGACGCTGACGACGAAGCAACTGGCGCCGCTGCAAGGAGCCGGCTTCTCCCGGTCGCCGACCGATGTAGCCGCCGCCGCCGCAAGGAACCAGCCTTTTCCGTCGATTCGTCCACTGGTCTTCGGATCTCGCACCTCCGCCGCCACCAACCGCCGCCGCCTCCGACCACACTGGCACCCATGGAGCTCGCCGGCAAAAGACCAACTAGGGACAAACCCTAAGAGCATCACCAACAGTCTACCTATATGATTCCCAAAACTAATTTTGAGGGATTTTAGTCTAAAAATCAGCTCTAACAGATCCCCTAGTCTCCTACCCGAGTTTTGGAGTTCCCTTCCCCCGGTTCCTCGCTCCGTTTATATGCGGGCGCAAAAGTCGCTCCCAATCACGCAATCCCGCCTTTGTCCTTCGTTCCCGCACGTGGGAGATAGCGATCTTTCTGCGCGTGAAAGAAAAAAAACGGAATTTTCTCTTGGTAGTTTAACAGAAGGGCCCACTTTTAAGTTTTAGGGATTGAATTTAGGCTATCTGTTGGAGGAAGGAGTTTTTTCACTTCCTATTTTCAGTTTAGAAAACCCAAAAACAAATTTATAGGAGAAAATTATAGATAATCTGTTGGTGATGCTCTAACTACAGGAGACACCTGACGACCTAAAAACAGACCCAACAACCTAATACTAGTAGAGGGGAGGTGGTCGGACCCCTCCTCCAACCCTCACCGGCGGAAAGCCGCCGGAATCGAAGGGGAAGAGCGGCCGGTGAGGTGAGATTTTGGGGAGAGAACTGTAGAAGGAGGAGGGGAACGATAGAAGGGGAAAGTGTGTTGTGTAGGTGGATCGGTGTAGATCTCAATAGGACTTTCGCTGCTCCCCTCTCTCTCTCTGTTTTTCCTGAAAAGCGACTTCCAGGTGTTCCTTTTCTCCTCATCAGATCCCCTCTCCTCTCCGTCCCCCATGGCATGCGCCGTTGGTCGCCACTCGCCAGCAAGGGGAGGGGGTCCGGGGCTGGTCGGGCTTGTTTCCTTTTATATAATCGTTGTAACATATTGTAAAACTTTAAGTTAATATTTTAAACACTGTCATGTGTGCCCGGCCTGTACGTGTGTTGAACTTGTTTTACTTGAAATTAAATGCTTATGCATTATATTAATTTATAGTGACCTAGATTAATTTTCACAATTATTCCGTGTATGCAAATTCACAAAAATATGTTGTGAATCTCAGTTAAATTGGCACAATTTTATCAACTCATTTTATGCCTCTACTAACTTGGTCAAAACAGCCAAAACTGGAATTAAACCATAATATATATTTTTTTTATAAAGAAAGCTTTTATTAATCTCAGACAATTACATCAAGTTGATAAAACTATATTAAGAAACTTCCAGCCTCTGCATAATTAGGACGCACACAGCCAAAACACACACGCCCACAAAAGAGTTTGTAACAAGAGAAGAATAGCAGTAAAAATTAGGTAGCACCAATCTTCAGGCTAGACCGTCATCCATATCCCTAGGTAAAACACTCCCTGACCACCCACTCCAAGCGCCCATACGTCGCTTCAACTAAATCCCAAGAGCCAGGCTTCTAAAAGATAGTCTAGGGACGAAAGGAAGTACATAGTTAAAAACGGAGCTATCCATTAACGCGTGATTAATAAGTATTAACTATTTTTGAAAAAAAAAATTCAAAAATGGATCAATATGATTTTTTTAAACAACTTCCGTATAGAAACTTTTAAAAAACACACACTGTTTAGCAGTTTGAAAAACGTGCACGCGGAACACGAGGGAGATGGGTTGGAAAAATGAGCAAAGAACACAGCCATTTATCCATAATCCAACCGATCATCTATTTAAAATGCCTCCTAACTTCTATAGCAACTTACACCCACCGTTTCAAAAATAAACGATCACTTTGGATTATAATTTTGTTCCAAATAACCACCTAAGAGTCCTACTTGTCCCATTAATCATCTCAATTATTTTTTTCCGTCTTACCTCTAACTACCCTCCTACTCAGGCTAGGCAACTCTTCTCCAGGCCAGCAACCAAACACACCCATATAGCATAACTACACATAATGAACCGTGGTTCAACCTGCCAGCTCACCAATAAGATCGGTGACCAGGAGGCCGACTGGTTCACTTGTCGGTCCGGGTTTTTTTTTTCTACTATAACAACCAGCCCTCACTCCTAGTCAATACCTATTCCACTCATCTTATACTAAAACGTGTCGACGGCCTGTTTGGATGGACTCAATTTTGGCCCATCCCCGTGTAGGCGGTGACCACATGGATAGGCCCATCCAAACAAGCCATCGGGAAGTATTGTCACCTCTTGTGTTCCCATCTAGGGAATAAGTCCACTTTGACTCCCTCAAGTATTGCTCAAATCTGATTCATATTTTTAAATCGCAATACCGGATATCTCGATCCCCCAACTATCTACTGGTTTCGCTGATGTGATGTTTTGGCTTGGTCCAACCTACTGAATGATCTTGTGGGGCCTGCATGTAAGTGAATCCTTCCTCTACTCCCACCCTTATATTTCCTCTCAGTGGCAGTGTGGCGGCGGAAGGGTGATGGTGTTGGGTAGAGCGGTAGAGGTAGCCACTGGTATCAAAGAGGGGGCTGGGGGACTGGCGTTGAAGCAGGGGCGAGAGACGATATAGCAGCCTTGCAACACCGGCTCGACGGGTGGCGACGGTGGCCGGAGCACCCGAAGAGCGCGGGGCCACCAACAATGAGGACGTGTCTTTAGCCGCCCCGCTCACCTGGTGAAGCAGCTTGGGGGCAGAGACGGTGGAGTATGCGGGGCCACCAGCGACAAGGACGATGGTCCAATCCCCCCGGCAGCAAGGTGGTGGAGATGGCCGTAGTCAGCATCAATCTAGGAGGGGGCACGATTTGGAGTTTCGGGTGGCGCACTTACATGTGGGTCCCACATTTTGTTTTAGTTTTTTAGCTTTCAATTTTACTCCCTTTTTTTATCAAACTACCATGCAAGCGTCACGTCAACACCACGTTAAACAAAGACCTACTCAAAGGGCCCACGTTAGCCAAAACCAACGACAATACTACTGAGCGACCTCGTTTGCACTGATTTTATAACTTAAGGGACGGTTGTATCTGAAAGGACGAAAATCGACAACAAATTGAGTACTGAGCGACCTCGTTTGCACTGATTTTATAACTTAAGGGACGGTTGTATCTGAAAGGAAGAAAATCGACAACAAATTGAGGGACCCTATTGTGAACTTGTTCCCTGAACTTTTGCACTACTGTGCCTTCGGCTAAAGCCTGACGGATCTGTTCAGACTTCAGAACTCTGAAGATATCCTCTACTCCCGAAGGCCCAGAACAGAAGTGCAGACAAAAGAGTGACAAATTGAGCGTTCAGCAACCAACTAACGAAGATCACAAACCCCAGCACCCTAAGGTACTTGTTCAGAAACATGACACATGAGTAGTACATAGAAAGGCTTGAGCACTTCCAGATTTTACAGCTAGAATTAATGTACAAGAGCAACGCCCCGACAGCCTACGAAGGCATCGATATCTACACAAGGAGCATGTTTATTTACTGATTATTATTAACTGGGATCTTACTACACCTTGCTGGCCTCCAAAGCCTTGAATACGTCCGTGCGAGTGACGATCCCTGCTTGTAAGTGAGTAAAAAAAAAGGTCCAGGTAAGTCATGTTTTTACATTTATAATGAAGGGCAGGAATCATTTGGAATTCATGCATTCGCACCATAACGAAAACCAGGATTCTGAAAAGTGAAAACATACGAAAATCTGGCATTATTAGTGATGGCAACAGTTATGGGCCGTACGACCAGTTTATCGCTGTCTTTCGGCGGAATCATGATGAGGGGACCTAAAATTTTCTGGTTGTAGAATGTTTGAGAACCACAAAGGTCAAGAAAATGGACTTAAACGCATTTCAGAAGGCCGTTGAGGATGATCAAACTCAAATCACCCCACCAGGGAGAGAAGACTGCTTCACAGTGGCAGTAGGGACTCATGGTAGAGATATAATCTTAGCAAAGCTAAATTGCAGCATGTATCAATTACGTCAAATAAAAAAAGTACAGGTAAATGGCTACCCATTTTTACTAAAATATCATAGCAATACCAAAAAGAGAAAGGTCGTCGTACCGATCACTTGCTGTTGTTCATTCACGACTGGTATCCTGTGAACCTTCTCCTTGAGCATAAGAGCAGCAGCTTCTGCTCATATAGTCAGTCAACAGGAAGAAAATTAGCAAAGGGTCAGAACCAGTTCATATTGATATTTCTCTAGTAACTGTAAACAAAGGGAGTCATAAGTTACCCAATACAGTCTTCTCGGGTGTCAGAGTTATAGCAGGAGATGACATGACTTCTCCAACAGTTGAGTCCAACTGCATCATGAGCAGAAAGCATGGGGAATAATGATCAGAATCATCAGGAATCCTTACAGAATAGGAATGGGGAATAATGATCATAATTATCAGGAATCCTTAAGAAGCCAATGCAATCTTGAAGTTTTGAACGACGTTTAATGCTGAAGATCTTGGGTCACTAAACGTTCACTATTTATTATACCTACCAAACAACCATATTGCATTTAACAAGTTCTGATAACATTTCTTTTTTTTCCAAGGCCTTGGGAATAACAGTGTGAAACAATTGTCTTTGTTATTTTAGGAAAAATCCAGTTTGTAGTTTAGCGAATCAAATCGAGAAAGATCCACTCTCTGAAGAAGTGTGTGCCGGGACCACCTATACATTTGTCGACAAATTTTCTTCTAAAAATTTGACAGATGTAATTATAGTATAATCGTAGTGTAATTATACTGTAACTTGTATGTAATTACACTGTAACTTGCATGTAACTACAGTGTAACTTGTATATAAGTTTCACGTAATTTTAAATCGTTAGATCTATTACAAAATTTGTTCTAGTGAGGAAGAAAAAAAAATCACATCATACACATATGTGAAAGAATTTATTCTCACAACCTCCATTTTACCGAAATAAATGTTATGGAGAGATTTTTGAAAGTTACAAACATGTTACATTGTAGTTACAGTGTAATTACACTACGATTATACTATAATTACATCTGTCAAATTTTTGCAGTAAAATTTGTCAACAAATATATAGCAAATTCAATTCGTTCCATAATATATGTGGCTTTCACTACATATTTTCCCAATATATGTATAATAAGATATGATTTAATTCCACAATTAGCAGTTTAACAAATTAACAATTGCAAGGAGGAAGAAGAGCACCGACCCCATTGGATGCCTTGGCCTTGTCCTTCTTGGAGATGACGCCGATGCACCTCCCCTCCTCGTCGAGCACCGGCAGGCCGGACTGCGCGGCGAAGAAGGCGTCGATGTCCGCCAGCCTCTGGTCCGCCATGGCCACCTGCACGAGCCGCGACATGACCTCCCCGAGCTTCGCCGTCGGGCTCATCTGCTCAAGAAAACCATCAGATCCAACAAGAACTCCTCAAGAAGCGATCGAGGTGGCGCGCGCGCAGATCAAACGAAACCTGGTCGGTGGTGACGATCTGCGACTCGAGGTAGGCGCGGAGGTCGGCGTAGCTGAGGAGGGAGAAGTTCTCCGGCCACTCGCCGGAGAGGATCCCCTCCGGGTACTCGTCGATGGCCGGGCGCAGGTCACCCACCGCCGCCACCCTCCGCCGCCGCGGAGCACGCCACGCCGCCACGCCGCCGCTCCGCGCCACGTCGCTCGACGTCGACGACAACCGCCGCGGCGCGACGGGCCGGAGCGCGAGGCCGCCCTGGACGGCGGCGGCGAAAGGCGAGGACGCCATGGAGCAGCACGAGACGAGGTGCACGACTCGACTCGACGCTGGCGTGGGTAGCGTCTGTTCGTCGTTCGTTCTCGCTCGCGGCGCCCACTAGAAGAGCGTTGGAGTGGAGTGGGAGTGGGAGCGTGGAGAGTGGTGTGGAAATTTCTGGAAGGGTGTGGGGAGGGTGGGGCCCACCTGCAGAGGGACGGACGGACGGCGTGCGGTTGGGTCGCTGTCCTGCGTGGCGTTTAGTGGGGGGTTGGTTGTTGGTGGGCATACAGGCAGACGCTGCTCCTTTCTCATGTCATGGGGCGTGGCAGCGAGAGGTTTTTGATGTTTCTGTTCTCTTGCTGTATAAACACTGCCGCTTCTTGTTTTCCCCGAGTTTTTCTCTTGTAAAGTTTCATTAATAATTTCAGTTAAGTTTTAAAATATACCTTCTGATAAGTTTTTCTACGGGTTTAATAGTAGAAATAGATTGTGTGAAACTCATCATTATCTTATAAAGACGCTGAGAATACAGGAGGGTGGCATGCTTAACTCAAATAGTATAGTTCTATTAATAATTGTAGGTAAGCTTTAAAATATACCTTCTGATAACTTTTATTATTGTTTTTTACGGGTTTAATAGTATAATTATGTTGTGTGAAACTCACCATTACCCTATAAATTGTAGAAGATGATCTTAGAAAAACAATGCAAGAAACTATGTTCAAGAACAACCGAAATGAGTGGTACCCATATTTGCATATGATACTTTTGTGTAACAACACAAGTTTATCTTGACATCTATAACTAGTTTTTATGACATAGATATCAGGAAATAAGTTTGAAAGCAACTAGTTCCCACTTGTCTAGTGTTTTTCATAAAATTACATATACATCTTGTCATCTACAGTGAAATCAGATGATATTTTTACAGAGAAAAACAAGAAATGTCTTTGTAAATGAAAAATGATGAACATATTGTCTTAATGCATTGTAGTAACATTCTCAATCTTTAAATCAGTTCCCATTAGATTATAAGTTATAGTTTAAGGGGGTGTTTAGATCCAGGGGTGTAAAGGTTTGGCGTGTCACATCGGATATTATATAAGGTGTCGCGTGGGGTGTTCGGGCACTAATAAAAAAACTAATTACAGTTTCCTTCGGTAAACACAAATTTATTAAGCCTAATTAATCCGTCATTCGAACATATTTACTGTGTCAAATCATGAAGCAATTAGGTTTAAAAGATTCGTTTCGCAAAGTAGTCGCAATCTGTGCAATTAGTTTTTTTTAAGCCTCTATTTAATACTTCATACAATTGTTCAAACGTTCGATGTGACAGGGTGTAAAAATTTGGGGTGGGATCTAAACCGTCCCTAAATTTATGTTGAAGTTCATAGGTGTCAGCAACTGGTATGCCCCGAGCAAAACAAATAAAAATTACTACTATATGTCCAAACCTAGGGTTATGCTCAATATTACAATGTATTCCGTAAACTGTCTTCGGTGATTGATGTTTTCGACCTATATAATCCTTTTTAAAAACTATATATAGTTTCCTTGTGCATGCGTTTTAATTTTCCGACCCATAGGCATTTTAAAGAAAATTATTTCTATCATGCATGAGAACTTAATGATAAATTGCTATTTCTCATGAGTAAATTTCTACTCTTTAGACATGATAATAGGAAAACAATCTTTATGAAGAAAAAAAGATTATGCAGCGGCCACTTAGTTCCTGTAGAATAGAAAAAATACTTGTAACACGAGGGCAAGGAATGAGAGTAGAACCAAGCTACCCAGTGACTTTGTAGCAAACCAAACACCTCTACTAAAACTGTACCTATGCCATAAATTTAGTTTTGTCTATGAACTTGTCTCCTATGGACAAATTTTGGCTTCAATCCAAATAAACATTTACAATTCTACCCTACCAAAATTTTGGTAGTACCAAAACTTGCCTAAAATTTGGCACAACCAAAATTTTAGTAGGGCATCAATCCAAACATGCCCAACATTTGGGCATGTTAATGCCAAAACCATTCCAATCATCTTCATACTTTGCCGTTACTGTTTCCTGAGCTCTTCTTTATATTCATCTATGGTATATTAATTTATTTTATGTAATTGGGAAAGGACATCAAGGCAAAATATCCACTGTCAATTGCATTCATGAATGACCAAGGTGTATCAATTGGCTCTCGTTCAGGTGTGCTAACAGGAGAAAGAAGGTTAAACGTTAAAAATGTTTGACATCACTAAGGTAATTTCCTTTCTACAGCCTATTTGCCTCTAACATTAAACATAACCAAATGTTTCTAGATAAGAAATATAATGGTTTGGTCATCACCACAGTAGGATGGTGCATCAATTTAGAATGGTTGCTTCCTCACACTAGACAATTTAGAATGGTGGCATGAGAAGCTTGTGGCCTTAATGGATGGAACCAAGGTATAATCAAAAACCATCAGATGGCTTGTTGTGGTCCTGATGGATAACAACATCTGGACATGCTATTTTGGTGTCAAAACCATGTTGATCATCCTTATTCTTCAGGAGCACCACTGGCATACTAATTATTTTAATCGGATGATAGAGAAATAGGAAAGAAAACATAATAAAACTACATATGCATTGCCAATTGCATCTACGAAACGACACCATGCATCAATTCTCTCACATTCAGGCCTCCCATCAGTAGGCTGAAAATAAATAAATAATAATCATGTTGGGGTTCAGCAATTTGTTAGCACTTGTTTTTGTCATCAATGCCATTGCTTGGAAGCTCACGTTCTCTGCTGATTGCGATGGCTTGGATGTCTGCCTCTCCACCAATCAGCCAACAATGCCCTAGAAGATGTGTGAAAGACCATGTGTGAGAGAGGTGAGTTAAGTGACAGGTGCAACTTTTAAAATATAGATAGAACGACATTAAGTAAAAGGCTAGCCCTGATTTGATGATGGCACATTGCACATAATGACATAAACTATAATCACCGGCTCATGGCACCATCACGGTGGCGCACCGCATGAACATCAAGCAAGTTAACAACGAAATTAACCGGCGAACAAACGTCGGAGTTAGATAGGTGAGACAGTGAGCATAGTCATTGTCGAAACATGAATTCGGCAATAATAAAACGGGGTAGCGCACGAGACCTAAAAGTGGATGGATGTGGAGACAAAGGATTTAGACAGGTTCAGGCCCTCTCAATGAGAGGTAATACCCTACTCCTGTTTGGGGATTTGAATCCGCCGAGTGTGTATTGATCTGACGATCAGGTTGTCTCATGCCCCCTAGAGGGCCTCCTGCCCACCTTATATAGGATGGGGGGCAGGATTACAAGATAGAAACCTTAACCAATACGGTATCGGTTTCCTAAATCTACTTTGCAATCTTATCAAACTAGGACTTTAGGCCGTTCCATAATATACAGGGAAACGTAATACCCAAGTCATGATCCGTTACATATTTTATATATATAAGTTATCCCCTATAACTAGTCGGATAACCATGCCGTGTGGGTATGGGGTACCCATAATCTCCACAGTAGCCCCTAAGACCTTCACAGTCGGAAAGATAATCTTCTCTCGAACTAGATTACTCCAAAGCCGAGTGCTTCAATCATCTTCGCCATGATCTCCCGAGTACTTTTTCCAAATCAGAAGACTGTGGAGGGCTGAAAAAATAAAGTCAGGTGCATCGACTAGATGCACCGAGTGGTTTCGATAATTGTAGTCAACCAAGCGACTTAATATTAATATGTAGCATATGCGGTGTGAATCCCTGAATAATATGATCCAAGTGATATACCGACTGCTTTGTAAAATATGATGAGTGTAACCTAAAGTTGGCTACATTATTGAAAATTCACATAGCAAAATAGCTATAAAGAAGCTTGTATGTTGTGAATAAAGAAATTTCCAAAGTATTGGGCATACGCCATGCGCACACTGCTTTAACAGATGTGCTTAAGTCCCTAGAAGACACATGGTTCCACCACACCTGGAAATATATGGCATATGTGGTATAAAATCCGAGTAAATAAACTCATAAAGGATTTACCAACCGCCTGAAAAATGACCACAATATATAATCAGCCTAAGCCATAATATTGGTCAATAAAAATACACACTTACGTGGCAAAAAGCAACGATATTGTATCCAATCAATTGCTTAAAAACCCAAACAGCACCATGACTATATTAAAAAGTCAGCGGGGCAGCTATATAAAGCTTTACTGTTTGACACCTTTTAAGATGCATTGTACCAACTCCTAAAAAGTTGAGTAACTGCGGTATAAAAGGATTTTAAGGTATTGAGCACTTGATCACGCGCACTTTGGCCTAAGCAAAAAGTGCCTAAGTCCCTAAAAGAACGTGACAGGCCACACCTGAAAATATGGGCTGCAGACATATTAGGCCTAGGCCAAAAAATATGTCTTCGATACCCTTTAAAGGATGACGCATGTAACATGCTCCCGGGTGATATAGACCATGTGATCTGAGTGATTATCCCTTATGGGATACTCCAAAATAGATATAAAAATTGAATCCCGACTGGCGCAAGTATTCGGTTGATAACCTTTACGGGGAATAATAAATAGTCCAGTCTTTGAGCATAGAAAATAGACTCATGACTATGAATCCATGTGGAATGTATCCGGAACAAGTCCAAATTGGAGATATAATCCTCACGCTTGAGTTGATGAGCCCCTGAGCATATAGCTTGTCCTTCTGTCATAGTCAAAATTGTCTATTGGCAATAGCTGACGCAGTCGGCATGGAGATGAAATGACCAACATGAAGACGAAATTGCTCATCAGAAGTAACGGAAGATGTCAGTGGTAGTAAAGATGCCACCAATCAAATGTAATGAAGTTGCATAACCATGGAGGCGAAGAAACCAGTCGGCAACAGTCAGGTCAGCTAGCAGTGAAGATGTAGGCGCCTAACAACAACGAAAGAACAGTCGGTGGTGACAAAAGCAAACCGACGATGAAGACGTAGACGCGCATCAACGGTGATGGCGAAATCCACCAATCATGAAGATGAAGAAAATAATCGGCGGCGACAAACGCATCCGACGGTAATGATGATTAGCGGCAACAGAGATAGCCGACTATGATGATGAAGTTTCCCAT